TATTTTATTTTGAAACTGGGTCTCAGTATGCAGTTCGAGCTGGCTTTGAACTGACTTTGTAGTCCAGGCTGGTTTCAAACTTGCAACGACCTCCCTGCCTCAGCCTCCTGAGTGGTAGGATTACAGGTTTGCACCACCATGCCCAGCCTAATATTTTTTGTTTTTTGTTTTTTGAGGTAGGGTTCTTGCTATGTGTTTTGGGCTGGTCTTGAACTCAACAGTGATCCTCCTGCCTCAGCCTACTGAGTGCTGGGATTCCAGATGTATGCCGTGATGCCTGGCCAAAGACTGGGGAACTTGATTTTTGGAAACCCCAGTGTAGTCTGCTCTGGCACTGATCCATGAGGAAGGTGGGCTCTGGCCTTGAGTGGAGCTAGAGACAAAGTGGGCTGGCGGGAGGCCAGGCATGGAGGGCAAGAGGGCTGACCTCCTGCAGGGCAGAATGAGCTGTCTGTCCTTGGGCAGCTGGAATGAGCCCCTGGAGCCAAGGAGGCAGGCCAGGTGGGTGACAGCCTTGGCCACAGGGAGGGCACCCGTGCTCACGCAGATGGCTCTGAGTGGCCACTCCGAGCCCCTCTGTCCCTGCTCCCTCACCTCTGTAGGAAGGTTGGGGCCCTGGCTGGCAGGATCACGGACAGACCCCAATGGCTGAGGAAGGGTAGTGTCAGGCCAAAGGGAGCCTTCATGTACCAGTGCTTGGGAGACACACCCCAACCAAGCAGAAGCCCCCCAGCCAGGCCTGGCCTGTGCTGTCAGCTCCCTCAGTGTGGCCCGTGAGAGGGTGCAGCCTGGCACAGGTCATGTCCCCTTGCTCTCTGGCCAGCAGGTCATGTGCTGAAGCATGCAGTTTCCCACCATGACCATTCCCAAGACTGCGGGAGGTCAGGGAGCCGGGGGACCTCCTTCCTGCTCCTGGGTGCAGTCTCCTGGTTGCCTCTGAGCTGGTGTCTTGGTCAGGGGTTGCGGATATGAGTATCCGTTAAAACTCAGTGTGGTGGGGCCTTGCCTAGGCTGGCCTTGAACTGGCAGTGATCCTCCTGCCTCAGCCTCCCGGCACTCCGGGTCTCTAGGGATTCTGATGTCAGGTGATGGACTAGAGTTGGATCAGAGTGGCACTGCAGCTCAGCCACCACCAGCTGTGTAACCTTGAGCATAGGACACAGCCTGTGACTGAATCTCCACCTTTGTGAGATGTGGACCATGGTACTAACTTTGTCACATGCGTGGAGGCACAGGCACTCAGAGGCTGAGGCAGGAGGATCACTGCAGGTGGAGGCCAGCCTGGGCTACATAAAGAGCTCAAGGCCAGCCTCAACTACACAGTGAGATTCTGTCTCCAAAACCCAAACAAACAAAAACGAGGCCAGCAGAGACTTCACAGATTCCTGGGAGGGTTTCACGAGGCAGCAGCTTTGGCTGAGCACGGGCAGGCACAGGGCAAATGTCCCTGTGGCTGGTTCTGGGTTTTTTCCTTTTCAGTCCCTGCCAAGGGAGCTTTCAGGGCCTGGACATCCCAGGAGAACAAGGCAGAGCGGTCCCACCAAGGTGACCAGGGCAGCTCCTGCTCTGAGGCAGCAGCAGCGCAGAGAGGTGCTGGCTTCTTGTTGGCTGGGAGATACCTGGGGCCCCGCTCCTTAGACTGGCAGGCAGTGCCCCAAGAACCAGCCGAAGCCAAGCAGTGACAGGGATGGTCATGGTGGTGGCTGCATATAGTGCTCTGCACAGATATGTGCAGGACCAGACTGCAGGAAGGGGTCCAGTCACGCCTGTCACAGTAGCTTGTGTGCCCTGAGCCCACAGTATGTGAGCACCTCGTTGAGTCTCCTGGGACCGCCCCTTCCACCAGGTGAGGGAGCCAGGCCGCGAGGGCCCACAGTGTCCCTTCACACAGTGACTCAAGCCCAGAGATGTGTCCCTGCTGTGTCCAGCTCTGTGGCAGTGGCAGTGCCACAGACAACAGTCACACGACCTAGTAAGATCCTGTCTCGAAAAACCAAATAAGCAAATATGTCACCAAAAAGTATGTCATGGCTTTCTTTGCTGAGAAGCTGCTATGGTAGAATAGAGCAGATTCATTTTTGGCCTCATGGTAGAACTCCAAGGCCCCATTCACGCTAGACACAAAGTGCTGTACTACTGAGTTACACTGCCGTTTATTTATTTTTTGATGGGGGCTATGTAGTTCAGGCTGACCTGGCACTCCGGGTGATCCTCCTGCCTCAGCCTCGCCAGCGCTGGGATAGATAATAGGCATATGCCACTATGTCTGACTGGTTTGATTCTGTAATCCTCTTGCTTTATCCTCCTGAGTAGCTAGAGTTACAGCTACTCAGAAAGTGTTTTAGGCCCAGGTTGGGTTTGGGGCTGACCTTTTCCTCTGAAGAAGGCTTTTCCATTTTCATAGACCTCTAGGATGGAAAGGGCCCCTGGTATTGTCCTGTCTGTTCTCCAATCTTAGAAACCTGAGGCTGCCTTCTGGGTGCCTCAAAAATATTGCTGCAGGAATAAAGGAAAGAAGTGGAAGGAGGCTGAGGCAGGAGGATCATAGAGTCATGGCGAGCCTGGGCTACAGAGTGAGCCAGCCTGAACCACCAAGTAAGACTGTCTCAAAAAAACCATGTAGCTCATGCAGTGGCCATGACCTGAAACCCTTGAGCCCCGGGCAGCTGGCTCAGGACAACTCATGAACAGCATGAATGTCTTAGGTATCTACAGTCACCTGCCGAGGGGCTCCTGGGGCTGTGCACTGAGGAACTCTAAATCAGTGAGCACCTGCTAATGACCAGAGCCAGGAGAGCACTGCATGTGCCCTAGGAGGTGGCATTTCACCAGGGACCCAAGAGCTAAGAGGGAGAGAGCATGCATCAGTGCAAGTTCTGCTGTGCCAGGCAGAGGGGGCAGCTGCCCTTGGGGCCCTGGGCAGGCAGATGGCACTGGGGAGCAATGGTCCAGGGCTGGTGACAGGATGGGTTATCCAAAGCCCAGCCATGGCTGGGGCATGCAGGGTATAAGGGACACAACCCCAGGCCCCTGCTCTGAAGGATGTGGCCCTGGTGACCCCTCCAGTGGAAAGAAGTGGCCCCTCCTTGTCACTGCTGAGGGCTCCGGACAGGTGTCAGGTCCCAGGCTCGGCAGAGGCTCGGCAGCTGGGGGTGGGGACAGTGCTGAGCATCCTGGTGTCCCTGAACCTGCACATGTGTGCAGAGGGTGGTGGTCTAAATCCATCACTCATCTGCGGTTGGAGACAGCTCCCTCAAAGTCCCCAGGCCATCCTATGAGAGGCCACTGAGTCATACGGGAGACAGCCATTTCCTTTTAATCCTGTCAGTACTTTTTCTTGTCCCGGAGACAAGACATGATTCCCAACACCCACAGTTTGAAAGAGGAAAAGTTTATTCTAGCTTACAGATGGCAGAGGTTCAAGAGTCCACAGTCAGCTGGGTCTAAGGAAGGGGCAGCACAGCAGAGGGCCTGGTGGAGGACAGTGGCTCACAGCACCGTGCACAGGCCAGTGACAAGAGGGAGGAGCCAGGGAGGTTGGTAAATGCCCAGGCCAGACCCAAGCCCCGCCTCTTCCCAAAGCCCCGCCTCTTCCCAAGCCCCGCCTCCTAACTAGTTAGCTGCATGTCTCCTCGCCCAATTAACCTTCCAAAAGCCCCACCTCTGCGTGCTTGAGGCTGTTGGGGGCCAACTAGATCTCGATCATCACAGCTTCCTTCCCTCTCCTTAAATCAGGGGCAATGTCACTTGCTCTCTGTCCCTCAGCACTTGTCAGACTTCCTTTTTCACAAAGGGAGGTGACAGGGCAGGGGCTCTGCAGACCTAGCACAGCCCAGAATCCAGCTGTGCTGCTAGGTGTCAAGGTAGTGCCTGGCCTGTGGCCACTGTGTATTTCCTGCCATTGACACTAGCCTTTTACTATGGTAATAAAGGTTTACATCTTAAAGTTTGTGTTTGCTCCATTAACAGCTCAAAAATCCTCTTTTGGAAATAAAACAGTTGTGAAGCTGGGCGTGCTTCTGCACTCTGGTCATCCTAACACTTGGGAGGGAGGCTGATGCAGGAGGATCTCTGCAAGTCTGAGGTCAGCTTGAACTACAATCCCTGCCTCTAAATTTTATTTTAGTAAAAGCAACAAATGGTCTTAAAAGCTATAGAAAATCCCCTGCAGATGGAGAAGGGAGTTCCTGAGTGACTAAAGTTTAAGGAACATGGATTTAAGTGATGTACGAGGCTCCTCCCCAATTCATGATACTCATTGTCCCAGGAAAGCAGACATTGTCACTAGTGCCTTTTCTATTTGCTTGTAGACAGGGTCTCTCTTTGTAGTTCAGGCTGGCCTTAAACTCACTATGTAGCCCAGGCTGGCCTTGAATGTGCAGAGATCCTCCTGCCTCAGCCTCCTGACAGGCTGTACTGCGACGCTGGGCTCCTCATTCCATTCTCACTTGTCCCCAGCTCTGCATCTCTGACCCAGGGGTGAGTATGCACAAAAATTCTCTCTGCAGGGGCTGGGGGTTTAGCTCAGCGGCATAAGCACATGCCTTAAAAGCAGGCAGTCGTGAGTTCGATCCCCGGTACCGGTAAAAGAAAAAAAAAAATTCTCTCTGCAGTTGGCACATGATGCTGGGGCAGGGACTGGTGCTGTCTGAGGCATTCCCTGTCCTCTGTCCCCAAGAGAGGGCTCATTCACAGTCTGCTGGCCTCAGAACTAGCATAACGTCTTACTCAGTTTAGTTCCAGTGACAGCAGAACACTGAGGCCAGTTCTTATATAACAGGCTTTGGGGTGCATGTGCAACACTGGAGATTGAACCATTCTATCCCTGAGCTTGACCCCTTTTTAATTTTGAGCAGGTTCTCACTAAATTGTCCAGGCTGTCCTCAAGCTTTTGGTTCTCCTGCCTCAGCCTCCTGCGTGCTGAGAACAGGTAGGTGTGTGCCACCACCCTCGGCCCTGGACCATAGCAGTTAGTAAAAATATTAAATAATAAATCCAGCTTTGACTCATGTATTTTATTTAGCTATATACCACCTTGTTGCAAGACAGGTATTGTGGCAATTTACAAAAATAGATACAATACAATGGAATAAAAATAGATCAGGGCAAAGGTGCCAGCAGAAGCAAGTCCAGGAGAGACAGCACAGTTGTTAAAAATGAATTTAAATTTGACTTTGAGCTTTCCAGCAGCCAAAACCAAGAAGACAACAATACTAGTTACAAGATTCCTAAACAAGTATTAGTTTGGAATTTTGAAAGCAGACCTGGTACAAATCTTTTTCTTTTTGGGGGTGGTGGTGGTTGGAGACTGGGTCTCCCTACACAGTTCAGGCTGGGCTTGAACTCACTATGTGGCCCAGGTTGGCCTTAAACTCTGGTACTCCTCCTGCCTCAGCCTCCAGAGGGCTGGGGTCACAGTGTACACCACCACGCCCAGCCCAGTTTTGTTCGTCTTGACTCTCCTTGCTAGAGACGGGGCAGTGCCATGTCCTTCTGTCTAGTGCTGGACAGAAGGCCGCAAAAGCTGTTTTTGAAAACTCAGCTTTCAGGAGGCCACACGTCGTCCCCGGCCAAGTTCCCAGCTGCTTATCGTGCTGCACCCCAGACTTGTTTCCTCCCCCAGGGAGCCCTGATGAGGGATGGGGCCGAGGTGGCAGCCAAAGCCACCTCCCTTATATCGTTCCACTTTTCAAAAATACGGGTTTTGGTGGTGCACACCTGTAATTCTAGCACTCGGGAAACTGAGGCAGAGGAATGCCATGAATCTGAGGCCAGCCTGGGCTACATAAAGAGCCCCTGTCTCAAGAAACAAACAGGGGGCTGAAGGTATAGCTCAGTGGTACCACACTTCCTAGCATGCACAAGATCCTGAGTTCAATCCCAAGTACCACACACCCACACAAAGGCTAATCAACAAATCCACACAGGAGGCGGCTTCCTTTCCTCCTCCGCCTTCACAGCTGCAGTGTGTAGGAGCAGCCGGCCCCTCCCTGCCCAGACCCGACCTGGTTTGCAGTGCCTGTTGCTAATTGCAGTGAAGTCCAGCATAGGTTTAAACAAAAAGGCTGGAGGACATCAGTTTCCAATTTTGTAGGGGCATGGGAGGTAGAGGTAGAGGTGGAAAGGTTCTGGTTGGAGGTGGCCACTCTTGGGCTTGGCATTCAAGGCTCTGTACAAGGTGGCCCCAGATGTCTTCTTAGGGCTCCTCACCTGGCCATACCAGGTAAGAGAAACATGCACTACTACCAGAGCTGCCACCAGAAAGGCTACAGTTGGCAAAGCATGTGCTCTGTCTAGTCTGAAATCCCAGCGCTGTTGCAGACTACGTCGCTGTGTGATCTTGGGTTTCTTTGCCTCCATGTTCTCATCTATAAAATGGGTACATTCACAGTACATCTGTTCACTGCTGTATAGACAGAAGGATGTGTGTGTAGCTTGTTTAGCACAGTGTTGCTTCTCAGCTAATGACTTTTTTTTAATGAGACAAGATCTCACTATGTAGTTCAGCCTGGCCTCAGACTCACCAGTCCAGGGTAGCCGTGAACTTTGGAACAATCTTCCTGCTCAGTCTTTTGATCACTGGAATTATAGCTGTGAACACCATACTGGGCTATGATCTGATTCTGAAACCTAACAGTGCCCTTAATTCCCTTCATGACAATGGTAACTTTTTGGGCTCCAGTGAGACCCTCGTAAAGGTGGCCAAGGACTGCAGTTACCTCATAGTGCAAAGGCCTGAAAACAGAGGATGCCTGGGGTGGATCTGGGGGCTGCTGCCAATGCTGAGGGCAGGCCCGGACCTGCAGCCCCTGAAGGTGGGCGGGGAGGCTGGCTGTGTCCGCTGTTGCCATTCCTGGCTGGGCTGGCGTCCTCATCTCCCCTTTGTTTCAGGGGTGACTTGCTGCATATGCAAAACGTCACTCAGCACTGCTTGGAAGAAACATATTCAGTGCGAGTCATAATTCCCTGCCCTCTCAGCCGAGCGGCTGAATTTCCTAACTCGGTAACTGGGTCTGTCTGTTTATTGAGAAAGGGTCTCACTTTATAGTCCAGGCTGGCCTTAAAACTTATGCACCCTAGGCTGGCCTCAGACTCACAGTGATCCTCCTGCCTCAGCCTCCTGAGTGCTAGGATACCTGGTTATGAGCCACTACAGAGGACTTGCATAGGTGCCTTCAAAGGTGCTGGCTAGCTTGGTGTTCAGTAGCTTGGTGCTGGCTGTCTACACTGCTGGAGCTGCCTCTGAGCTGAGCCAGGAGAATAAAGGGCCAAAGCCCTTCCGTAAGGAGATCTGGTGGGCCTGGAGTCCTGCATGCCTCTGAACCGTGCTCTGCACCTTTTTGGGCCTGTTTTCTCTTTGGGAAAGTGAAATCAGCTCCAGAGCCTCTCCAGCTCTAATATGGAGGAGGGCAGGCTTGAGCAGTGTCCTGGGCCACCTGCCTGGTTCTGAGGCTCTGGGGAGCCACGGGCAGCACCCGGCCAGGTGATCCTTCCTGTGCCTCCTCAGCCGGTGTCCCCAGCTTGGCAGCCCTGGCACCAAAGTCTCACAGCCAGGACTCAGTCACGCCTCACTCCCTGCCCGTTCTCTGCATTTCTCAGCTCTGCCTGGGGCCGAGGCCTTGCTGGCAGCAGACCTGAGATGTCCCTGAGTGTATCCGTGGGGCTTTGGAGTCTCAGAGAAAGGACCCCCGGCTGAAGGCTCTGGGAGGCACCAGGCCTGGGTTTTCGGCCAAAGCGCCACACCCGGGCAGAGCTGCTATTGGCGAGCAGCTGCCTCAGCAGCCTCAGCTGCAGCACATCAGATGACGGCACTGAGAAACACAAGGGGACACTTGGATGGGGACAGAGGGAGGGCCTGGAATTCGGGCCAGCTTCTCTCTGGGTGTGGCTTCTCTCAGTGGCGAGGTGACGGTGGATGTTTGGAATGTGGCCGGAGGGGGCGGGTGGGGCACAGGGCTGATCCAAGGCAAGAAACAGGGATACCGGCCACGAGGCCTGAAGCCCAAGGCCACCATCAGCTCAGCCAGAAAAGTGGCCTGGTGGCTGCGCTCGGTGGCACACACCTGTAACCCCAGCACTCTGGAGGATGAGGCAGGAGGACTGCTGTCTGATACTAGCCTGGGCTACATAGTGAGACCCTGTCTCAAAACCAGAAACAAGAGAACAGGAGCCTGGGGTGACATAAAACCAGTGCATTGGCCCCAAGGGCCTTGGGCTTTGAGTAGTCCTGAGAAGGCAGAAAGCTGAGAGAAGGCAGGCAGGGGAAAAGGGCAAGAGCGAGGCTCGGTCTACCCATCTGTGAAATGAGCACACAGTTGGCCCCTCTGGACCTCACTCTCTTCATCTGTTTTTTGGTGTGTGTATTTTTGGTTTTTGTTCTTTTTGAGACAGAGTCTCGCTATGTAGCCCAGGCTGGCCTCAGATTTGCATCAATCCTCCTGCCTCAGCCTCCAGAGTGCTGAGATTACAAGAGAGCACCACCTGGCTGTAAATGAGCTACATTTCCACCTCCAAGGGAGGTGCAGGGGTGCTAAAGGGGTGATCGCACAGAAAGCTTGCTGCTTTGCAGGGAGAAGCCAGTACCATCCCCTGGGTACTAAGGAAGCGCTATTCAGCTACCGTCACAGCCCTACCACCCAGCCCCGGACACCCCAATAAATACTTGCTGACGCGGCTGCAGGAGCTGCTAGGGCCCGGCCCTCACCCCGCCCTGGCCTCTGGCGCTCAGACCACGAAGTGGAGGGCATAGGTGAGCTGGTGCCCGTTGTCCCAGGCGTAGAGCACGCGCTCCCGGGGGTTGTAGTCGATCTGGGTGGTGTAGGCATGCTCATTGCGGAAGGGCAGCTGGGGACGCGCGTCGGTGCCCGTGTGGGTGTCAAAGGCGTAGGCCACCTGGCCCTCGTGCTGGTTGTAGGTGTCCACCGCGTACAGGATGCCGCACACCAGGAAGCAGTTCCCATACGAGCTCCGCCTCAGCCGCGTCTTCCACGTGGTCTCCCGATGCACGGAGAGGTCGCCGGGGTCCAGGCGGCTCAGCACGATCACCTCGGCCTGGGCATCATCGTGGTCGTCCACGACGGGGTAGATGACCCACAGGCCACTCTCATCCACGGCGAAGTCGATGTCGGAGTGGCCACGCCACTTCCAGGGGGTGGTGTCCTCGTACACCACGTCGGGCAGCAGGGCCCAGGAGGCCACGAAGCGCTGGCGCAGGTCGTACTTGATGATGTTCTTGGTGAAGGCGCGGTTGTAGTAGAAGGCGCCGCGGTAGACCACATGGCCCGTGCCGATCCAGTTGTAGGGCAGCTTGTACATGTTACTCCAGCGGCCTGCGAGTGGGGCGGAGGTCACTCCGAGCCCCCGGGAGACCAGCAGGATGGCCCCTTTATTGCCCCACCACACAAAAGAGGTGCTAAGGCTTCCCTGTGTGCCCTGCACAGCTAGGACTGAGATGCAAGGTGAAGCCAGTGCTGTGTGTTGCCCCAGGGCCTTTGCACATGCTGGGCCTCCAGCCTGAAACAACCTTTCTTCCCTCTGCCTGGCTTCTTCCCACATCTCTGCCCCAAAAGTCTCCCTTGCTCCCTGGGCCGGCTCCCCACAGTGCTCTGATCCGTGCCCCTAACATTGGACCCCAGTTGCCTTTCTACACCTTGCCTCTGTGCTCCATTGTGGCTTTCTAGAAGGCAACTACGGTCCTTTCCCACCGCACCCCAGATCTGAGAACTCAAATTCCGCCCTTCCCTCCACTAGCAGGGGTGGCACCATGGTCCCTGCCCAGGCCTGCAGCTCTTTCAGGGCCCAGGGCTACTGGACTGTAAAACAGGGAACAACCCCACTTCCTGGTGACTGGCAGAAGCCACGGGGTGACTGCACGCAGCAAGCACTCAGCAAGTGGAGACTCAGTAGCGTCCCCAGGAAGTCAGTGGCACTCGGGGCGGTACTGTCTGTCTCTGCCTCTGTCTTCTGGCTGGGCCCCCACCCAGTCCCCCAACCCTTCTTCCCGGGTGCAGGTGACCATCTGGAGCCAGTCAGGCTGCACCCAGGACACTACAAGGCAAAAGAAGGCCCAGTATCAGGGGCCCCTGCCGGCCGCCCATGCCCCCCCCCCCCGCCCCTTTCCAGGGCCCTGACCTTGCTTGAAGTTCTCCAGGTTGCGGAACTCCACCAGGCTGTTCCCGTAGTAGTAGTTGGTGACATAGATCCTGTCGTCCTGAGACGCAGGGTCCTTCATCCAAGCACCCTCGTGGCGCCCATAGCTATGGTGCCTCACTGGGGGATCCACGGCCCGGAGGGTGCCCTCGCAGCTGGCCTCCTTGCCTGTGGGAGCCAGGGGCACAGCATTTGGCATTCCCAGCCCTAGGCCAGGAATGTGATCTGGGTCTAACTGCAAACCCCCCAACCTCTCTCTAAGATCAGTGTAATAATAATGCCTGAGCATTGTAGGAAACAAAGGAGGATGGAGAAGATAAATCAAAATTTAACTGAGCATAGTGGTGCATGCTTGTCATCTACCACTGGGAAGCTGAGGCAGGAGGATCACCACAAATTCAAGGCCAGCCTGGGTTACACAGTCAGTTCAAAGCCAGCCTGAACTGTAGGGTGACAGCTTGTCTCAAAAGAATCAAAAACCAAACCAAAACAATAAAAATATATATACACAATTCCATCATCCTTTATATGTGGAATCTAAAAATTTTTCTTTTTTTTTTTTTTTTTTTTGTCTTTTTCATTTTTATCGGTACCGGGGATTGAACTCATGACTGCCTGCTTGCAAGGCAGGTGCTTATGCCACTGAGCTAAACCCCCAGCCCCTAAAAATTTCAACTGCACAAAAGCAGAGTAGAATAGGAGACTGGAGAAACTGTGGTGGAATATTCAAAATTTCTTGCAGTTCATAATATATTGTAACCTTCTTTGAAACTGTTTTTTATTTTTTCTCTTTAAAAAAAAAAAGTGGGCTGGGGATTTAGATCAGCAGCTTAGGCGACTGCCTGGCAAGTGGGAGGTTGTCAGTTTGACCACTGGTACCAAAATAAGTAAATAAAATAAAATGTAAAAAGTATAACCTATCAAAATGGTCTTTTTTGTTTTTTGTCTTTTTGAGACTGGGTCTCACTATGCAGTTCAGGCTGACCATGAGCTCACTTTGTAGCCCAGGCTGGTCTCAAACTTGCAAGGATCCTCCTGCCTCAGCCTCCTGAGTGCTAGGCACCATGCCTGGCTAAAATGTTTTGTGTATCATAAATACATGAAGTGGGGGCTGGGGATTTAGCTCAGCGGCATAAGCGCCTGCCTTGCAAGCTGGCAGTCGTGAGTTCGATCCCCGGTACCGATAAAAAAGGAAAAAAAAGATAAATAAATAAATACATGAAGTTGTAAATCTGCCCATCAAAATATTAGTTTCCTTGAAAAATCCTAAAAAGAATCCCAGTATCAAAAGGAAAAAGCTTCTCCTTTGGTCTGATTATATTTGGTTCACCATATATAGTGAACTCACTGTGTAGCCCAGGCTGGCGTCTCACTTTCAGCAAGCCTCCTGCCTCAGCCTCCCGAGTGATGGGCTGACAGATATGCACCATCACGCCTGTCTTCTAAAATGAATTTTAAACATGCCATATTTCCTTTTTTTCCCTTTGCATGTCGCATCATGTAGGCACACTTTTAGGAACCGATTGTTCCTAAGACATATTTTTATGGACCCTGTTTTTTTGTTTTCACTGAGCAATTTTTCACATCATTAAGTAGCCTTTTAATGATGTGCTTTCTGGGTCCTGCCAGGCCGCCAGACAGCTATGGCTTGTAGTTTATTTCACATCAGCTCCTTAGGTTATTTCCAGGGTTCCGACATCAGAATCAGTTCCTGGGAGGCAACACGGGTGCAGCTGTTGCACACGCAGTGGGCGTGTGGGTGCGGGTGAGCAGCGGTGCGAGGCCCTGGAGGCATCTGCTGCTCGGCCTCACCCACAGCCAAACCCAAGCAGAAGGGCAGATCGATGATGCACTGAGGAAGTTTTCTACCATGGGACACAGGCCAAAACTGTAAACATCCTCATAAAAACCACCCAAGGGCCACCACGCATGTGGCACGCACTTGTAATCCCAGCACTCAGGAGGCCAAGGCAGATGGAGAGTTCAAGGCCAGCCCTGGCTGGGGTGCAGCTCAGTGGAAAAGTGCTTGCCTAACATGATCGAGACCCTACCTCCAGCACCCGGTAAAACAAAACAGCCAAGGGACAGAAGAAACAAAGAAATGAGAATAGCTGCTGGATTTTATGGAGTCTAGGTCACTTTTTTTTTTTTGGTAGTGGTGGCACCAGGAACTCAACCCAGTTGTCTAGGCTAGGCTCAAATGGGTAATTCTCTTTCCAGAACCTTCCAGAGTATTGCTATCACAGGTGTATACCATTAAGCCCGGCTCCCAAAGCTCTATTTTTTTTTTTTTTTTTTTTTTTGGTGCTGGGGATTGAACTCACAACGTTGCACCTAAACTAGCCAGTGCTTGCACCACTTAACTAAATCCCCAAGCCCCAAATCTCTATTTAAATTTTTTTTTTGTCTTTTTTGTTTTTATCGGTACCAGGGATTGAACTCACGACTGCCTGCTTGCAAGGCAGGCCCTTATGCCGCTGAGCCAAATCCCCAGCCCTTTTTTTTATTTGTTATTTTTCATTTTTTGTTGTTTTGAGACAGGGTCTTACTACGCAGTTCTGGCTGGCCTTCAGCTCATCTTGTAGCCCAGGCTGGTCTCAAACTTGCTACGATTCTCCTGCCTCAGCCTCCTGAGTGCTGGGATTACAGGTGTGAGCCACCACACCCAACTTGATTTTATTTTAATATACTATCTCTGTATGTTGGCCATGCCAGCCTCAAAATTGTGGTCCTCCTATCTCATCCTCCCAAGGAGCTCAGATTACAGGTGCGCACCACTGTGTCCAGCTAAAGGTCACAAATGTTTGTTGAAAATCTATGCATTTTACAACTACTCTAAATGTCTGCCACATTTTCATGCAAAGGAACATAAAGTACTAGGCTTTAGAGGCCACACACTTCTGTCACACAATCTCTTGTGTAGTTTTTTGTTTTGTTGTTTCTGAGTTTTTTGGAAACAAGTCTTGTTGTGTATTGCAGGTTGACCTTGAACTCATTATGCATGTGGCACAGGCTGGCCTGGGATTTGCAGCATCTTCCTGCCTCAGCCTCTTGAGTGCGGGGATTACAGATCACACAAACAGGTCTCGTGTTGGATTTGGCCATGGGCTGCAGTGTGCTGACTCTGGGACATTTACTCACCTTGGCTGAGGACTTCAAGGCGTGTGGGTGGCTCGCTGGGCAGGGGACGGGTGGTAGGTGTCGGGGTGGGGGTGGCTGTAGTAGTCGGGACAGAGCTGGGGGTGCCAGGGCCCAGGTTGGCATCCTCTGAAGCTTTGGGTACAGCCTCGTTGGTGGAGTTGGGCTCGGGGGACCTGCTCTCCATTTTGGGTGGCGGCTGCTCCAGCCATGAGGTGCCTCTGAGGGTGTTGTCTGCACAGAGCCATGGTGGGGAGGGGCAGGTAGCATTTAATGTCACCGCCCACCCCCATCTCCCAGCCCAAGCCAGCTGCATGACTTTTTTTTTTTTGCAGTACTAGGATTGAACTCAGCTCCCTCTACCACTAAGTTATGTTCCCTGGCCCCTGTTTAAACTTTTGTTATTATCATAGATTTGAGAACTGGGGATTGAAGCCAGAGCCTTTGCACTGAGCTACCCACCCACCCAAATTTGTCCGGCTTCAGCCACCCAGAGTGCTGAGGTGTGTGCCACCACACCTGACTTTAATTTTTATTTTTAGGCACTCAATTGCCTGGGCTGGCCTTAAATCCAGGGTTCTCTTGCCTCAGCCTCCCTAGGTTCTGGGATTACAGGAGTACACCGCCTCACCCAGCATTGCCGGAGAGTTTTTATGGCCATGTCCCCCTGCCTCACTGGGCCTCAGCTTTCACCTCTGACTTGAGTGTCCTGAGGTCACCCTGTCAGGCTGCTATGTGACTAGAGGGAGACACATATGAAACAGCTGCATAGGTCCTGGCAAACCCATGGTGCTGAATTCGAGGTCCCTTTCCTAAGCGCCGAGCACAGCCTGCCAGTTCTTGCCTATTCTAGACACAATTCCAGTGAGCAGACACTGCAGCTTCTGGTCACAGCCTCCCGAGCCCTCCCCAGCACCTGCCACCTCAGGCAGGGAGAGGCAGGGCGGCCAGCTCCTTGGCATCTCTGGACCCCAGAGAACACCGTCCTTACCCCGTCTTCCACCTGTCCAGCTGTGTTGGCTGGGGCTGTGCTGGGGACAGGGACCATCTCTGGATCACCCCTGCCCCACCTGCTTCCCTGGCGTGCTGGGGTGCATGGGGACTCTGGAGGGGAGGCAGGAAGACTGGATGTCACAGGGCTGGGACACACAGGCCCCTCTGCTCCAGGGATGGTTCTGTAGCCTGAGGACTTGGTTCCATTCCCATCTGCCACCACCTCCCTGTGATACGCCTGCCGATGACAGGGTCAGTGCCACAGCACGTGAGGAAGTGCCCAGAAAACCCAGACACCACGAACAAAGCGGTGCTGTTGTTCCAGGATGGCCCCCGGGGCTGCCTGGTTGGCTGGGGACAGAGAGCCCTTGGCTTGAAGACAAAGACTTGACTTCTTCCTTTCTCCTCTCTTTGCCCTATGGCATTGCCCCCTCCCAGCCCCCACAGAAGGGGCCCAACTGCACTGGTCAGGGGCAGTGGCCTGGGGCCTAGTGGCCTTGGCAGCCTGCCAGGCCAGGCCTTGTTCCCACATGCTTTGCTGGCAGAGTCGGATGCCCCCAGCAGTTCCCGGGCAGGGGCCCAGCCAGGGGTCAGAGGCCCTGTGTAGTGGCCAGGCTGGGCTGGCAGAGCTCAAGGACAGCAGCTAGCACCAGGGCCTGTGAGAAGAGGCCACTGAGCCCGGAGAGGCTGAAAAATAAGGGGGCTTTTGAAAGAACTAGGACCCTGATTGCCCCAGTGCTGTCCCCACAGGGGCCTCACTGGACAGTGCTCAGCAGGACTCGGGGAGGGGTAGTGGGTTTGCGACATCCCTCAGGGACGTCTGAGGACAAGAGGTGTCTGGGGCGGGTCTCAGTGGGGGAAGCAGGAGCCACACCAGTGGGGATGGCTCAGAAATTCAAGGTCCTGCCCAGTGCAGTGATGCACTCAGGAGGCTGAGGCAGAAGGATCGCTGCTGTGAATTAGAGGCCAACCTGGGCTACACAGTGAGTTCAAGGCCAGCCTGGACTGCATAGCAAGACCCTGTCTCCAAAACCAAACGGAGCTGGGGACTTCGCTCAGTGGTATAAGTGCCTGCCTTATAAGAATATGGTTGTGAGTTTGATCCCTGGTCCGAAAAAAAGGATGGGGGGAGAGAAAAAAGAAAATCCCAGTGACACTGAAGATAGTTTAAATAATGGAAAGAGACACTCAATGGCCCTGATGTTGGTTCAATGATTCTGTCCCCAGGGGCTCCAGGAGCGGGGTATTAAGCCCAACGGATGGCTGAGAAAAGGGCACCCAACCAGCGTGAGGAGCTATGCGAGGACCCTGGTGGCGAATGCCCCACTCCCCCTGTGCCCAGACCCCTGCTCACCTGCCATGGCCACAGGTGCCTCCCTCCGGCCCGCCTTGTAATAGGTGAAGCCCCGGATGAGCGCCTGCTGATGTGCCAGGGAGCGGGGCCTGGGCGTGGGCAGGGGCAGCCGGCCCTTGGTGCCTTCCTTCCTCAGCTTCTCCACGGACAGCAGCTTCTCCTTGGGCGGTTTGGGGCGACCCTTATCCGAAAGGTTGCTCTGCACGTTGTATTTGTTGGCATCCTTGGCTCTCCGTTCAACTGTGTTCTGGGCAAGGTGGGAGGTTTCCGACTTGGGGGGGCAGGAGAAAGAGCATTGTGGGAGCCGTGGAAGGTGGGCCTGGTGCCCAGGAACGCAGGAAGTTAAAAGCTTGAGACCCAACTTGATAGCTTAGATTCACGTTCTGTTTCCCAGCTCCTGTCCACGCTTCCCCAGGGGTAGATAAGACTGGTGGCTCCCAGCCAGGTGTGGTGACTCACCCCTGCAAACCCAGCACTTGGGAGGTTGAGGCAGGAGGATCCTTTCGAGTTTCAGACCAGCTTGGGCTACAAAGTGAGCTCAAGGGGCCTAAACTGCATAGCGAGACTTTGTATCAAAAAGACAACAAAAACTGGTGGCTCCCAAGGGAGGTGGCCTCTCCTGCCTGTCAGTTCCCCAGCATGGCCTTTCTCACTGCTCTTAGTGGATGGCCCAGGAGGGACTTTCAGTCCCTGTGCAGGCAGACCAACTCATCAGCAGGGTGGGAACTCCCCAGGTTTAGCCCTGCAAGTTTTGCTTCCTGGGAAACCATTCTCAGCCAGTCACCCTCCCCCTAGGCACACTGGTTCAAGGTTTTTTATTTTCTTTCTTTCTTTTCTTTTTTATTTTTTCTTTTTTTTTTTTTTTTTTTGAGATAGGGTCTTGCTTTGTAGTTCAATCTGGTCTTGAACTCCTATGGAACCCAGGTTGGTTTCAAATTTGTGGTTATCGTCCTACCTCAGACTCCTGAGGGTTAAGATGACAGATGTGTGCTAGCATACCCAGCTGTTTCTAACATTTTTCGAGCTGTATTTTGCTTCCTATCCAGAGAGCTCTGATTGTCGCTTGGCACAAGAACAAATGGCAGAAGCCCCAGCAGATAGGGCCATACGGAATCTAGATGCTTTCTGACACAAAGGAACCTCATTTGCGCCTGCAAGGTTGGCCCTGGGATGAACAGGAAGCCTGCTTGGGCTAAGGCACAGGCTTCCTCTGCATTTTCCGGCATCTGAGCAGCCCATCTCGCTGCTGCCACAGGAGGCAGGGTGGGGGAAGGGCGGGCTCTGCAGCTCTGCACGGCCTCTGCATGCCTCCCTCTGCCAAGCAGGCAGGGCCAGCCCTCTTGCGCAGCGGTCTATGGGAATAACTGATAAGCCTACCGGCAGAAACCCCACAAACATCACCCCCTCCTCCCGCCACTCACCCAAACACAAGGCTAGCAGGCTGGATCTTGCCCAGTGGGCACGAATGGGCTTCAAACCCGTCACTGCTTGCTTTGCCCTGGCATGCGGCCCTCCAAGGAAGGAGCCTTTGTACGATTGTCCACCCAAAGGCGGCTCCTGTTTCCCACTGATCTCCACAGAGCCCATGTTTGCAATGTATCTGCCACAGGTGGGACCTTCCCCAAGTCTGCACAGAGGCCACCTGTCCCAGGGTGCTGAACCTGGGAGCTCTGAGCCTAGAGGTGGAGGTCTAGGCAAGGACAGATGGGCTGTGACAGTCGGCAGGGGTCGCCAGTAGGTGTAACCCAGCCAGGGTGCCCCACCACAGCAGGGGAGTTGCCCTGATTCCCAAGGCCAGGCGGGTTGTTATTTCCACAATTGTGTCCCTGTCAGCCAGAGACCTAGAACAACAAGCCCTGCCCTCCAGCCCCAAGCCTACTGCGTGCTGGCCCCGAGGCCGAGTCCCTGGTACCCTCCGTCCCCCAGCCCTGCCACCTCTGGCACTGTGATGGGCGCAAGGGTCTCACCTGAGCCCTGCTGCCCGGGCCAGTGGCCGGGGTGGTGGGGTCGGCGGCTCCATCCCTCTGCAGCAGCTGCAGGCCCAGGCTGGACAGCTCCTTCTGCAGCTTCAGCACCTCAGCCGAGTGCTTCTCGTAGCTCAGGAGTTGCTCACTGAGGTGGCGCACACTCTCCTTCACCACCTCATTCTCCCGGCTCAGGTTGGCCTTGATGCTCTGCAGGGCAGGATTCCAGGTTGCTCCTGGCTCTGTTTCCTCAGGACCCCAACCCCCAGAGGGACACCCCAGCCTGGCCATCAGGTCTCACTGCCTGTGTCCTGAGCAGGGCTGCAGGGCATGGGCTGGGTGGCCCAGTGAAACAAAGCATCTTCCCTGAGATCCTGCAGTGGTTAATTTTTTTTTGAGACACGGTCTTACTATGTGGTTCAGGCTGACCTTGAACTCACAGCGATCCTCCTGCCTCAGCCTTCCTGCTCATGTCTTGATAAGCCAAAGTGTCTCCAGATATTGTCAGCTAGAAGGGGTGCAATATCATCCCTGTCTGAGAAGTATGGGTGGAAGAGAAGACAGCAGAGCAAGCTGGGATCTGAAATTGCTTCCTGACCCCAGAGTGGGGGGGTTCATTGACAAAAGGCACGAGCCATTCTGGAGAGAGTGTTCTTGTGCCTCCTGCTAGGTTAGCAAGGAGCTTTTCTCCAGAGCGTTAAGGCTCTGTAAGCTGAGGTTAACAGAAACAGTACAGATAATGCAAAAACAGACAATTAGACAAGCGTTTCTCTGTGCTGTGGAAATCATTTCCAGTTTGTCCCACGCTTGGCAGACGCACCATCCAGATTGTCCGGCCCAGAGATGCACAAAGAAAGATTACAAGAGGGAAGGTCAGAGGAGGACAGCGGCAGAGCCAGCAACAGACTGCCTGGCAGCGCCACTGCACGGGAAATGCTAGTACACACAAGACATCCCACAACCGCAGCCTCCCCCAGGCCGCCAGAATAATTAGAACCCACTGTGACCCCGGCTTTGGGATTAGGAAGAGGTTAATCTCCCCGGGGGCACAGGATGCCCAGGTGCCCCCTCTCTTAAAGGAAGCTGGGAAAGGAAGCCCTGTGCTGGGCCTGGCAGCTGCAGGTCCCCAAGTCCCCAGCAGAGTGATAGAGGCAGGAAGCAGGAAACGGGTGGAGATACAAGCTTTGAACCCACAGTGAGGACCTGCAGCTTGCCCACTCTGTCCCGGTGGCGAGGCACAGTCCTGGGCCTTTGCCCAGCCCTGTAGCACATCTATCCTAAGCAGGAGGCCACATTTGGTTTCTCTGCTTTTTGATACAGGTGCTACTGGGACAGACAGGCTGTCTGAAGCCTGGTTCTGGTGAACTTGGCAGGTCCTGGTGTTGCAACAATGCCTGGGGTACCACTGGCACGGTATCTTCTGTTTTGTTTTGTTTTGTTTTGTTTTGTTTTGTTTTGTGAGACAGGGTCTCACTATGTAGCCCAGGCTGGCCTTGAACTTGAAGTTATCCTCCTGCCTCAGCCTCCCCAGTGCCAGGATTACAGCCATGGCCCACTATGCCAGGCTCAAAGTATCTTTGGCGAACAGTACCCCCAGAGCCATATACGTGGACCCTGATCTTGCACACTGAGGATAATCACAAGTTCCAGCCCCTTCTGCACCCCTTTCATATAACCAGCAAGTGCCTCAGTTTCCCCACCTAGTCATTCAGGTTCCTGCAGACCCAGGAGCCCACTGAATCTCTTTCCTAAAGCCTGAACCCTGTGGCCTGCACACTTCCTCTCCCTGATGCCAGAGTCCAGCTTCCAAAGGTCACCAGCCCCCCTGCAGAACTGTCCCAGCCCCTGGGACGTGGTCTGGGAAGCCCCGCCTCACCTCCTCCAGCGTGTTCATCTGGGAGGCCACCTTGTGGATGTAAGCGTGCACTTTCATCAGGTCCACGCTGTACAGGGCACCTTCCAGGAGGTCCACCATAGACTGCAGCTGTGGGGCAGGAAACTCATGTGAGGATGTGACCAGGGCAGTGGAGGCTGGAAAAGGAGCCTGGAATCCAGCACCCCAGACCTCAGAGGGGCCTGCCTGGGTCCTCGGCACTCAGCAGCTGCAGCCTGCTCGTCTCAAATCCAGGAGAAAAATGGCAGACTCTATCTGTGAAGCACTTACCCTGCGGCAGGGCCTGAGTAAGTTACACTGCTGCATCCTCGTGACAGCCCCGCAAGGGTTGCAGTGGGCAGCTGAGGCTCATTCCCATTTGCCGGGACTCTTCTTCCTGTGCCCAGCCTTGGTGTCCATGCTATTTTATTTGTTCCTGGTGCTGTGGATGGAACCCAGGGGACTCACAAAGGCGAGGCTCGTGCTCTATACTGAGATACACCCCAAGTCTCATGTACCTCCTTTTAAATTTTTTTTTTTTTTTTTTTTTGAGTTCAGAATACTCAAAATCCTTTCTATTGGCTAATCTGAAATAAATAACTGCTGGTGTGGTGGTGCACACCTCTAAGCACTTAGGAGGCTGAGGCAGGAGGATCACCATGAGGTCGAAGCCGGCCTGGCCCACATATATAGACGTACAGTGAGTTCAAAGCCAGCCTGAACCATATATAGACGTTGTCAAAAAACAGACAGGCTGGTCCAATGTCAGGGGGTTATCAGAACTTATTAACATTAGTGTCACCCCCCCCCACTGCTAAATTTGACTGGCTTTAAAAAAAAGAGAGAGAAAAAAAACAGACAAACAACAAATTGCTGTCAGTCATGTACCCAGGGTGCTACAGAACCTGAGACGTTATTTCTCCTATGGCTGCACCCTGTACTGCTAACATCCCCCCTTTCCCTCCTGGGCTCCGGTTTAAGGACTTGCCTCTGTGACTTTTCAGAGTCACCTGGCCCCCAAGTACCAGGGTGTGTGTGCACCCTGTGGGCATCCCTGAGGCATGGCTGACTGATGTGAACAATTGAAAATCTGCTCCCTTGTGGGCATGGTGGCGCACGCCTGTAATCCCTTCACTCAGGGAGTGAGACAGAGAGACTGCTGAAGTGACCTATAGTGAGCTCAAGGCCAGCCAGATAGCTCAAAAACAAAAAGCAAAACAAGCCCAGGTCCCTGGCCAGTGGAGACAGGGGTGGCTGATGTGCCACCCTTCCTAGCCTCCTCCCTCAGGCTTCCCTGGGGAGCCTTGGCATTACCCTCCGTTGGCTCCTGGGCCTGCTTCTAGTGACCCGACCAGAGACAGCTTTGATCCTCACATTACAGCTGGGAAGGTGTAGCTCAGAGGCGAAACACTTACTCAGGGCCATGGGCTCCTGGGGTTGCGGAGCCAGGTGCAGAGTGGAGATGGTGTAAACTCAGACCCCTTTCCTGTTCCGCCTCACTGCACTTAGTCTTGTGTTCCATGGGGGAACAGAGGCTGCCAGGTGGGGCTGCACACTAGGTCTGCGCCCAAAGCGCATGTCCAGCTACCCCATCCGGCGCAGGGCTCTGCCCTGCAGCTGCCACCTCCACTCCCTGTCACACCTCATCAGGATGTGACACTCCCTCCAGATGGCCAGGATGCCAGGGCGGGGCCAGAAACTTGGCACCAGAGGTCGGTTGGGAAATTGGCCCCGCCAGCTTCAGGGGAAGGCAGTGCCTGTGGCCTCCCAGTCGCGGCTCTGCTCCTATCGGGCTGGACCGGCGGCCCCCAAAGGGCTCTGCTCTCATTGTCCCAGGGGCTTGCGTACTGCCCGTTATCCTGCCCTTGTTTTCTGAGCTTCCGTTTCCGTGGGGCAGCGAGTGAGGCCCACTAAGCAGGGCGTACTTAGAGGGTGTGTTTTGGATAGGGAGGACCCCTGGGCTTCAAGGCTCGGGCTTCTTAGCATTTCCAAGACCATTTGGAGACACCTAGATAGCTTGGAACAAGAGTCCACTCTTTCTTGTGCCATCTGTGTAAGACAGAGGAGGCACCTGAAGAGTTGGCTCCCAGCTTTTGGCAAAAGACATTTGCCTGACATTTACCTTTAGTTTTCTTTTTGTAACACCTAAGTGGACGCCAACAGGTACAGTACTGGAGGGGGAACTGAGATTCAGGCCCAGTGGCTTCCTGATAGCCTGGCAACCCCAAACCATACCATCTCCCTGTAGTCCCCTGGGCCCTGCAAGGCCTACTGCAGAAACCCAGGCCACAGGCCAGTTTTCAGGAGCAGGGACAAACCATTTCTGCTCAGGTCCCATCCTAGTAACTGAACTGTAAGATGGCTTCACAGAAAGACGCACAAAGCCCTTTCCATGAACTCTGGCTGAGAGAATCTGTACTCCAACATCTTGGGAGGGAACTGGAGGCCCAGAGAGAGGTTATGACTTGCTGAAGATCACACAGCAGGAAATGGACAACACTGAGATTTGAACCCAGAGTTCTCTTCGTAAATTGTAAACAAGCAAAGGAAGAAGGGTTGCAGGGAGGGAAGGAGAATGGGACTGGGAAAAAAGAAGCAAGCTATGTCATGCGTAGGTACAAATTCCCAACGATGACTGTGATCATTATGTACATTTAAAATGTACCAATAAGATAAAAATTTTTAAGAGCGTAGCCTAGGAGTGTAGCTCAGTGAGAGAGTCCTTGCCTAGCAGATGCCAGGCCTTGCAGTTGATCCCTAGTAATAAAAGCTACTCCCATGTTCAAACAGGATGATTTTTTTTTTCCTTGAGACAGGATCTCACTTTGTAGCCCATGCTGGCCTTGAACTCAAGCAGATTCTCCTGCCTCAGCCTCTTGGGTGCTGGGATGACAGGTGTGCACCACCATACCCAGCTCAAAGGACTTGAAGGCCGCAGGGTGAAGTGGGGAGCTTCCTGTGGGCCCCCAGAGCAGCAGTCCTTGTTGCCGGCTCTCGGAAGTCCCTTTCCTTGTGCTCTTCAGCTGGGCTCTGTCCTGACCTCTGCTCTCTCCTGCAGCCCGCTGCCCCATTTCACAGGAAAAGAAACTGTGCCCAGTGTTCAAACAGTACCCCACGAGCCTGAGGGGTACCATGGAGCCCTCGGAGTTGGGGTGAGTCTGTAGGGGAACAGAGCAGACTCTGGCAGGCCTTGCCTCTGCAGCACCTTCCGCCCGCCCGCTTTTCAGTTTTAGAAACAGGTCTGGGCATGGTGATGTATGTCCAATCCCAGCAATCAGAAGGCTGAGGCAGGAGGATTGCCATGAGTTAGAGGCCAGCCTGGGCTACACAGTGAGTTCAAGGCCAGCCTGAACTACATAGTGAGACCCTTTCTCAAAAAAACAAAACAAAAACTAGATTTGCAGTAATAAAGTCCTCTGCCTTGGTTCCAGAAGGCTCGTGTCTTCTGCCAGCACCTATGAGACCGCCAGGCTAATATGTCAGCTCACCATAGGGCAATGTCTGCAATCTTTGACACCAAACAAGCAAAACAGACATATGCCTGGGAGAAATTATAAACGAAAAAAAAGATACCTTCAAGAGGCACCAATTGGGGCTGGGTGATGAGACGGGTGATGAGACGTGTGTCTATAATGCCAGCATGGTGGGAGGCTGATGCAGGAAGATTGCCAAGTTCAAGTTCACCCTGGCGACTTGGAGACTTAGTGAGACTCAAAATACAAAACAAAAAAGGTTGTGGATGTAGCTCAGTGCAAGGCCCAGTGTTTAATCCCTTATTGAAAAAAACCCTGTCTTGTCTTTTTCAGAAAGGACGACAGAGGAGCAAACAGTTGAGACACGTATTTTGGACACAGTAGGGTCTGCTTCAGTTTCCTGCTTCTGCCAGGCTCTGATGGGCCTGGGCCAGCATGGTCCGAACAGCACGGCAGACCCTGGCTGGCCCTAAAGTTCCGAGCGCTGGCTCTACAGGCCTAAGTAATAGCTGGGGTCTTGGGGGGCGCACTCAGCCCAGGCTCAGTCCTCACAAGTGGAACCTTCTTGTAATGGGCTTATTTGGGTGGATGATTCAGAGTCACACAAAAACTGGGCACTAAGTCAGGCTTGAGAGGTGCATATGCCTGTAATCTCAGCACTCAGTAGGCTGAGACAGGAGGCCAGTCTGGGCCACAGAGTGAGTTTGCCCTCACTTTGAACAAAGTGAATGCAAGGTAAGCCTGGGCTACATAGTGAGAGCTTGTCTCAAAACAAACAAATGAACAAAAAGCTTAGTATCTATTATCAGACATGCTTGAGTATTTAGGGTTTAGAAATTTTTCAGATGTTGCAATAGGTGCACATAAATAATAAGATATCTTGGGGATGGGACCGAAGTGAATAAGAAATTCATATATGCTTTATATTTCTTTTTTCTCCTTTCATTTTTTCATGGTCCTTTTATACACACAGCTGAAGGCAATTTTATACACAATATTTTTAAAACATTGGGTATGAAGCGAAGTTTTACAGCGTGGAATTTTCTACTTGTGGTATCATGTTGGTGCCTAAGAAGTTTTCAGTTTTCAGGTCAGGGGTGAATGTTCAACCAGTGCAGACTCGAGGCTGCCTCTCATTCCAGGTGTTGGGCAAGTTACCGAAATCCTGCAAACCTCAGCGGTACAGCTACAAAGTGAGGATCAAGAGCCCCGATTTCACCAAACGTTTTGTTTTTGTTTTTTGGTGGTGCTGGGCCTTGTTCGTGCGAGGAAAGAACTCTACCACTGAGCCACACCTCCAGCCCCACAAAATGCTTTAAGGATTCAGATAGTGTATGAGAGGAGGCCAGCACGGCAACTGGCAGCAGAGTGTACCTGAACGTGGGGAACGTTAGCATTATGTTAAGAACCAGAAAAGGGCTGGGTTCGGTAATGGTAGCTACTTCCAAAGGCTGAGGCAGGAGGCTCTCAAATTTGAGGGGAATCTGGGCCACTTGGACCCTGGGGATGTAGCTCAGTAGTAGAGCACTCCTGGGTTCCATAAGATGAGGAGGGCGAGAGGGGAGAAGAAGAAAGAGAAGAAAAGGAGGAGGACAGGGAGGAAGAACCAAACTGCAAGTGCAGATAGATGCTGACAGATGAGCTGTTTGGGTAAAATCAGGAGAGATTCGGGCTGGGGATTTAGCTCAGCAACATAAGCGCCTGCCTTGCAAGTGCATGGTTGAGTTCGATCCCCGGTACCAAAAAAAATCAAAATCAGAGAGATTTTACTGCGGGATGCACACCAGGGGCCGTGTCTCCACTTGCTGGCTGCAGTCTTAGGCCAGAAGAGGCTTCTCCTTCCTCCACAAACCACGGTTTCCTCGCCTGTGCGCCCACCCTTCCCAGGCAATCACGGGGGAGGGGGGGAGGGGGGGGCTGGTCCCTGGAGTGCAGCCCAGGGGCCCCTCCTGCCTTACCTTGAGCAGCTCGGGCGCCTGCTTCCTGAGCTTCTCCATCTTCCACTCGTGCTCGCAGGGGTTGAGCGAGGCGGGTGGGGCGGTGCAGGAGCAGCGGCAGTCGCTGCCCGCACTCACCGTCTCTACTGCGAAGGCGTCCTCGGCCCGCGCTCGCCCGCCGCGCACCCGGCTGCAGGCGTCCTTGCTCAGCGGCCGCAGGATGCACTTGCAGCGGCAGTCCGAACCCTCGGAGGTCATGCGCACTGGCTCCGTGTCCCCGAACACCTGAGAGTGGGTGGGCTGCGGTGAAAAGAGACGCCCGGCCATGCAGCTTGAGACGCGTGGTGGAGGGGATGATAGAGGAGGGAGCTGCCCTTAGGGGAAATAGTGGCTTTGTAATACTAAAGAAGCAGGACAGGGTGGCCCACACCAGTAATCCCAGCACCTGGGAGGCTGAGGCAGGAGGATCCCAGCAAATTCAATTCGAGGTCAACCTGAGCTACACAGTGAGTTCAAGGCCAGCCTGAACTACATAAGGGGACCCTGTCTCAAAAACAACGCAAAACCTAAAATCCATCAAAGAAAAATCCTCAATAATGAAATGATAATTTTAAATGTTATGTGTATTTTTCCACAATAATAAAACACCAAATATGACTGGAGATCTTGAACTGAGCATGTACTATATCCTAGGTTAAACATGCATTATGTCCTTTAATAATACTTGATAGATGAGCTGTTTGGGTAAAATCAGGAGAGATTCGGGCTGGAGATTTAGCTCAGCAGCATAAGCGCCTGCCTTGCAAGTGCATGGTATCCCAGGGTGTGGGATAAAGGTACTGTTTTCTGTAAAGTCCTTAAGATGCCTTTGACACTTTCCTGAGCTAATGTTCTCCTGACTGCTCTGCTTACTGCCCTTCTTGGAGGCTCCCTCCACTTCATCTGTAATGCACTCAGCCTGCAGCCCTTGTCCGCCTAACCGTCCTGTGCTTCATCCCCTCCTGTCACTCAAGGTCACAGTGTGGATGCAGCAGTTCTGGATCCAGACTGCAATTGCTGTTCTGTGCTACTTCTACTGACTCCTCCCCCAATTCCTGTGTGACCTTAAACAGGTTGTAAACCTCTGAGCCTCTCGACCCCACAATGGTATACTAGGTGACCGTCATCCCCAGCCTGAGGGTGAGACTCCCATGATATGACTCCCATGATATAACAGGATCTTCCTGTCCCCTTCACTGCATCCTGGGAAGCTGCATGCCATGTCTAGGGGTGGCCACTGTCACTGTGAGCATCAAAGCTCTGTGCCTGCAGGGTCAGCCGAGCGAGGTCAGTGTGAGGTGCCAGGCCTTGGGATGCCATACCCTGACATAACTCCTGGCCACCCAAGAGCCAGGTCTAGCACAGACCTGAAGTGAAGGTTCTGGGTGTTTTTCTTCTTTTGGTTTTTGCCTGTGGTCCAGGCTGTCCTCCCACTCCAGTGACCCTTGGGCCACACATAAGCGGAGCATCTTTTTTTTTTTTTTTTGGTCTTTTTTCCTTTTTATCGGTACCAGGGATTGAACTCACAACTGCCTGCTTGCAAGGCAGGCGCTTATGCCGCTGAGCTAAATCTCCAGCCCCATCGGAGCATGTTTTTGCAGACACTGGGGAGTCCTGTGGGGCTGCTCTGAGCAGAGAGAACCAGGTTGGTCTAGTGTCAAGGACAGTTGGCTGGGGCTGCCCAGCCAGGCGGCAGAGGACACAGCCATGGGCCACCTCCAGCTGTGCATTCTCAGGTGGGTTACTCAGTCTCTCTGTGCCTCAGTTTCCCCTGGTATGCAAAGGACAGTTTGAGGACTGAAGGTAAAGGACCAGCACCATGCTTGCCTGGGGCCAGCAGCCACTGTCCTTGTCACTCTCAAGGGTCCTGGGGGTGGCCTGTGTGTCCCTGAGGGTGCACTGGTGGAGACTATATTCCCCTCTGGCCTTAACAGCATCCTACAGACGAGGAATTGGTCTTAAAGATCAAATGACTGGGTCGGAAGGATGAGACAAGGCAGGGTGGGGTCACCCATGCATCCCCAGCATGTGGGACCCTTGTGTCTCCAAAGCATCTGTGAGTGCCCTGACCCTGTTTCCTCAGGGGAACCCCTGGTCACCCACACCAACTCCCCTGAAGGTAGATGTAACTGTGGTCCATGTGGGTTCCGCAGGGACAGATCTCCGAGGGCCCGGCCACCTTCCCTCCAGCAGAAGCAGCCTCGGCGGCAGTGTCCACACCAGTCCTTCCTCCCTCCAATGAGCTGCCAGTGCTTCGGAGCAGCCAAGGCCCTGACCTGGCCAGGAGCTGGACAGCAGGCCCTGGCCTTAGCCCTGCTAGTAGGAGTCCCTACTGGGCAGAGTCTTGTCCCCTGTGGGGCTGGACATGGACTCTGGGAGCCTCAACTCCCTCTTGGGTCAAATGGAGAGCATAAAGTCCTTTCCTCACCAGCTTGTCCTGAGTCTGAAGAGTTAAGATACACTGCACGTGGGGCGGGGATCTGGCCCAGGGTAATGGCTCTCTCAGCGGTACCTGGTATACAAATCACCGCTGGTGGCCCTGCGCATTCTTTACCTCTATCTTGTTCGTATTTTTGAGACAGGCTCTTACTATGTAGCCCAGGCGGCTCTCACACTCACGGTAAGCCTCCTGCTTCAGCCTCCCCAGTGCTATGCTACATAACTCCATTTTAGAAAGGAGACAGCTGAGGCTCAGTGAAGAGGAGAGGCCTGCCCAGGGCCAGGCAGCACAACCTGTTTCCAGAACTTGGTTGACAGGTTGTTCCTCCCTTGACCAGCCAGTCACCAGGCAAGGGCTTCTCCCTCAGCAACTGAGCTGGGACAGATGGGTCTGCAGAGAAGGAGGCTGGGGGTGGGGGCGGACCTGTCCTCTCTGCCCTTGCATGAAGGCCAGGAAAGTTCCTGCCTTGGACCCATCTCTCCTGCTCCTTGCTAAGCACACATGGCTGCCAAAGCGCCCATAAGTGGGTGGTGGTGGTTTGTGCTTGCAAAGGTGCCAAGGTATTTTCAACGAAGTCTCATAGTGTGCCGGCAAAAGGGTGGACTCCAATGGTCCTGAAGACAAAAAGAAATCTGGTGGGAGGGGCCCACACTGGGAAATGGTCCAGCTGGGACTGAAGAGGCTCAAAGCATTCCTGCCTCTCCTGGAGCCCACCTTATGCTGGATACCTTCTCCTGGATGGCAGGGTCAAGCTCTGTGGGACATTTTCTCCCAAACCTGCGCCACCTGTCTCCTGCCCAACCGGATCGCTGAGCATGTTTCATACCCCCAGGTAACTCATCAGTCGTCATGTTCTTTTGAGCCTTTTTGATTGTTTCTGAGACAGAGTCTTCCTATGTAGTTCAGGCTAGCCTTGAACTCAACATGTAACCCAAGCTGGCCTCAAACTCGAGGCCTCAAACTCCTGCCTCAGCCTCCCCAGGGCTGGAATTACAGGTGTGTATTATTACACCAGATTCAGACAAACTCTTTTAAGAGTTCAAGTCTGTCCTGTTAAAGCCTAGGGCTGTTGACAAGAGGGCTGTGCAAGATTCTGAATCTATGTGTTGGGCATGGGCTGTTTCCTGGTGTCACAGCCACACAGTGTTAGGACAAGACCTTCCCTGGAGAGAGCAGGTGAGGCCTGGCCTCACACTCTGCGTACTGAAGGACTTGGCCACTACACTGCCCTCTCCACTCAGGAGCCTGCTTCCAATTACACCCACAGGCGGAAACTCCAGGAGCAGACAAGAAGCAACACCTAAGCCCCAGGGATGCCTGCCTGGAACATCTGACCCAGCCCAGGCCACCACAGCTTCCTGCCTGGCCCCTCCTTGCTGTGGTTCCCTTAGGCCTTGGCCTCTCTCCTGTCCTCAGGCCTCCAATCTGAGGACCAACCAAAGATCCCCTTTCTGCTTCTGTTTTTATTTCTTCCTTCTCTCCCCTTCCTGCCTCTGGATGAAAGCAGTAAGTGAGGGACTAGCAGTTCTTCCACAGACAGGGAAATTGAGGTAGATAGAGATAGGGACTTTTCAGCCACAGTCCAGCAGTTCCCACAGGTCTAAGTGTCTGTTCAATTCACCCTTCAGGCTGGGCAGCCCTCCAGAAACAGCAAGGAAAGACCTGGGAAATGGAGGCAGGAGGATTGTTGTGAATTTGAGGCCAGTCTGGGCTACATAGTGAGTTCAAGGCCTGCCTAGAACTATATAGTGAGATGCCCCCCACTCAAAAATCATTTTTTTTAAAAAAAGTAAAAAATAGAAAGAAACATGCAAGGCATGAGCACTCCTCCTACTGTCCGGCTAGACAATGCACTTCCTTCGATGGAAATTTCAAATCCTGTTTAGGAGACACTAAAGATCCAACATGAAATTAAAACACATTCAGCAGGTAGAGGAGGATGTCAGAACTCTGGGTCAATTCTGGGGGTGAGTGGCCCCCAGACCCCTGGAGGAGGCACTGGGCCTCCAGGAACAGGAAGCCTAGGAAAAACCAACCTGACCCTTTGAGTCTCTGGATCCAGTTCAGACTCCAAGGAGCCCTCCAAGGGCCCCCCACCACCACCCCGGAAGGAGATCAACCTCAGGGAGGAGGGAGGGGTCGCCATGGGGTGGGGGTGGGGGAAGCAGGCGATAATGAAAATAGCTCTGGCAGAGTAGCAGGAGTCTGGCTGGGCTCAGGAATGCAGAGCAAATTCACCCACCACTTGATTTTTATTTTTCCCAGCTGGCTGAAGGGGTGAGGGGTGGGAGGTGTTGGGAAGGGCTGCACTAGACCACACTAGGACGCCTCCCCGCCCTACCAGCTCTAGCTGGCCCTAGGACAACTAAGTACACACACCCCCAACCTAGCAAGTGCTTGGCTGACTCACTACATAAACAGGGTGTTGGGTTTTCTTTGTCTTTGCTTTGTTTTGGATGGGAGTCCTCCTCCTCAACACTGCAGCCCAGAGATGCCCCAGACCAGATGTCCCTCCTGGCCAGAGACAGAAAAGGCAAGAGTTGACAAAGCCCAGGTCAGGTTGGCTAGCTGGGGTTTTCTGTTCTCGGGTTCTCCTACCTGAGCTGGATCAAGGGACTCTAGAGGACAGTGTATGGAAAGGGACTGGGAGAATTTTGGGGGTTTTGATGGGGGATCTGAAGCCTAGAGAAGGAGAGTGACCTGCCAAAGGTTACACTGCAGAAGAAGGGTTCTGGCCCTTTACCTGCCCATGGGCAGGACAGATGCACCTTCCACCAGGAAAAAGGCGGGAAGATAATCATGAGAAGCCACTGTTGCCCTCCACCCCCGTGGTGGCCTGCTTTCTTATTTTCCTCTGGCCTCCCCACCCATCTCTTATGATACTAGGGATTAAATCCAAAGCCTTCACACTGAGCTATGTCCCCAGCCTTTTTAAAGTTTAAGACAAGGCCTTGTTAAATCACTAAATTGCCCTGCTGAGCTCAAATTCAAAATCCTTCTGCCTTAGCCACCGAGTGTTGGAATCAGAGTGTGATCAGAGTGCTGGGATCACAGGCATTGGCCACCATGCAGGCCCATCTTCAGGTAATTTCTAGAACCTCTTTCAGGCATCCTGCTCTGATAGACCCCGAGTCCTTACTCCTTCCACATTCTGGGGTCGGATAGCCCATTTTTGGGGACTTCATCTGATACAATTCTGTAATCAAGGATAACACTTACTGGACACCTGCTAGGTGCTAAAAATTTTCCAGGCACCATCTCTCTGAACCAGGGGATCATCAGTTGCAGGAAGAGGGGATTATTTTTCTTCCCAGGTATACAGGTAAAGAATCCGAGGCTCAGAAAGGTAAAGGCACCCTCTGGGTGGTGGATGTGGGATTTGAACTCAGGTCTGCTCAACACCAGAGCGGACCCTTGGGGTCACAGCAAAGAACACTGGAGATACCTGGTCCTCACTGATTCCAGGCAAATCATCGAGGCCAGACAAGCGGCCAGCTCAGGTGGGTGCTCCGGAGAGGGACCGGCGGCTCCCCGAGTGGTCCAAGGCCTGTGCAAAGCTGGGAGCCCCTGGTCAGCTCCCTATGGAAATTCCGGTGGGGTCCCGGGTTGTCCCTGCGCGGCGAGCCCCAGGCCCAAGCCCAAGCCCCCATAGCCAGAGCGCTTCGTCACGCACACTGCTCCCCCAGAGTCTAGGCCCTAGCGGCTCGGGGGCAGGGTGTCAGGTCGGAACCTCTCCTCACCCGGGTCCTCGGCTCCCCGCTCACCCGCGTCCCAGGCACAGCGCCCCCTCGCGCCGGCCGCGAGAGCGCCTACCTCACTGCGGGCGCGCACCGGGCTGATCGGTAGCAGCAGCAGCAGCAGCAGCAGCAGCTGCAACAGGAGCAGCGCCCGCGGCGCGGGCCGGGGCTGGAGCGCGGCCATGGTGCGGAGGGCGCGGTGGGCACGGGCGGCGGGCGCGGGCGCAGGGAAGCGCTGGCCGCTCTGCGAGCTCGGAGCGCCACTGGCTCTGCCGCCCCCCGCCCGTCAGCCGAGGCGGAGCCAGGGCCCGGGCACCGGCCCCGCCCCGCACCCCCCCCCCCGCGCCGCCCCGAGCATCTGTCCCGGGAGCCCCGCGCGAGCGCTGCACAGAGGGTCCCGCAAAATTCCGGTCTGCAGGAGGGGCGAGGGCTCCCCATGCAGACCGCGGAAACCCTGTGATAAGAGATAGGGAGTCTTGGGGGTTGTTCCTTTGCTCTTTGAGCCTCAGTTTGTCCTTCGAGAGAATAGCAAACTTTTTTTTTTCCTGAAACCTGAGCTCTAATGTAGCCCAAACTGGCCTCAAATTAGTGGGGATCCTCTTGCCTCCCAAGTGCCTCGCCCGTCTAAAAGTAGCCTTTTTGGAGTAGTTGTAAAGTTCAAACGAGTGCGGTTTCCAGCAGGTGAGCCCTTGTGCTTTCCCAAGCCATCCTTTCTTTTCCTGAGACCTGCTCCCGCGTCTTCCATCGCTCTCTCCCTCCCCGACTCCTCCCCAGCCAAACCCCAGGACCCTCTCTCCGCCCGGTCATCCTTAGTGCGCCGGATTTCTCTGCTTCCCAACTGCGACGAGAGCTGCCAGCAGCGGCCAGCGTCTCAGGATCCCGGCTCAAGTCTTCACTCCGGAGACTTAGAACTCACCACCCCAGAATCCAAGAAGGCACTTCTCTCTCTACAATTCCTCAGGCGATCACAATGTCGGGCCTTTTGGTCTAACCGTCTCTTCCCTTGGGGGTGGCTCAAAACTTCGTACGTTTATTTATTTTTGCAGTACTTGAGATTGAACCCACAGCTTTCACATTGAACTACATACACAGCCCTTCTTAATTTGATGCAAGGGCTCACTCACTATAAATTGTCCCGGGGGTGGGGACTGGAATTTGGAACCCTCCTGCTTCAGCCTCCCAGAGTCCTTGGGGTTACTGGCACAACCCTCCATACCTGTAACCCCAGCCTGCCCTCCTAGCTACCAGGTTTTCCCTGGTATTTCCTGGGGTTAAGGTGGGGAGCTCCTCTCCCATCTCTTTAACCTTTCCTTTCCTCCTCTGTATACCCTGCCCGCTCCACATTGTCACTTAGGGGACCAAGTCAGCTCCACATATGTTTACCTGAATTTTTTTTTTTTTTTGTCTTTTTCCTTTTTATCGGTACCAGGGATTGAACTCACAACTGCCTGCTTGCAAGGCAGGCGCTTATGCCGCTGAGCTAAATCCCCAGCCCGTTTACCTGAATTTGTACAGAGGCTCTACAATAAGGGACATTTATTTGTGCCTTCAGGGCTGCCACCCCACCCCCACCTTACCTCTGTTCTCCAGCACTTTCCCCGCAAGAACTGCTCCCTTTAGTTGTTTTCTCTTAGAAGCTGTTACTCCAGGGAGCGCCTGCCATCACTGAGGGAACCGGGCCAGTGCGGCAGGAACTTTGTCCCCCTCCCCCACAACAGCTGGCTCAGGGCTTCTCCAGGTGTGGCCCCTGGCCAGAGAGCTCAGCTTCGTCTTCCCAGGATTTGTTAGAAATGCAAATTCGAAGACTCCACTCCCTGACCTACCCGGGATCGGAACCGCGGAGGTGGAGCAGCAATCTGTTCCCAAAGTCTGGGGGGCGGGGGGACACAAGGTTTGAGAAGCCCTGGGAGCCGAGGCTGGTGATAGGTAACTCACTCAAAAGGCAGAGTGGGTGTTCAGGACAAGGAAACTTCTTTCATAACTAGAGAACGGGAGGCATCAAAACCAGGTCCAATGGAAGAGGCCAACCGATTTGCCCTGAAAGGAACTGGACTAAGGAGAATTTTCACTGAGTACATTTTGCCTTCTGTGGATTTTGTAACGTGTGTCCTATTTGTTTTTTTTTTTTTTCTTTTTTCGTGTATCCTATTTGAAAAAGACAAAGTATACGTCAATGTCCCAGGCAGGGATCCCCTCTACTGCCCTTTGTCCTGGGTGCAGTCTTTGCCCTCAGTGGGGTGGATTGCCTGGTGGATTTTCCTAGTGGATCAGGGTGCTGTGCCCTGACTTGGCTTTGGGATCTTCACACCTTACTCCTTCCACCTGAAATGCTCCACTTAGTTGCCTCATTCCTACTAGTTTGCCTCATCTAATTTTATTGCTCCTTTTCCAGGAAAGACTCCCTTGATGAGCACCCCCAGCTACAGTGAGCCCTGTCTCTCTCCTACCAGACACAGAACTTTTGTCCAAGGGGCTCTCAGTTGGAGCACTTGGGTCTGTGTGGTCAACCGACTTGAATAGCATAAGTCTGCCTCTCACACTGGACAGCAAGGCCCCTTGGTGAGGCTGATACCACCTAGTTGTTAGCTGTTTCCCTGTCTGGTGTTTCTGCCTCTGATATCTGGCCCACTCCCTCTTACATCCATTCTTATCCTTAGATTCTTTCCTTTTCAGCTCTTCTGTCTTGAATCCTTTATCTGCTGGAGAAACCTTTTTTTTTTTTTTTTTTTTGTCTTTTTCCTTTTTATGGGTACCGGGGATCGAACTCACGACTACCTGCTTGCAAGGCAGGCACTTATGCCGCTGAGCTAAATCCCCAGCCCCTGGAGAAACCTTTTTCATCCTTTTTTTTTTGGAGGGGGAGTTGAGATGAGGGCACCCTGAGTAGTGTGGGCTGGTCTTGCACTCATGACAGTCCTGCCTCAACTTCCTGAGTGCTGGGATTACAGGTGTGTGTCTCCAGACTGGGCACTTTATGTGCTGCTTTTCTGTCTCTTTATTTGTAAATGAGGGAGAAAGTGCTGACTTCTCAGGAATGTGGGGAGAAATGAGAGAAAAGGGGCCACAGAGAATTTTAATAGATGCTGCCTCATGGGTTCTACATGCCTAGGACAGTGGTTGGAATCTCCTCACCTTTCTTGGTGCTGTTGTAGCTGACCCGTCCCAGAAGCTGCAAACCAGAGCTCTCTGGGACTTGGAACCTCTGTCCAAATATCATTTGGACACCAGGTTCCATTCCCTAAACCAGCCCTCATAGTACCTGCTTTGCATGCGCCATGTCATTCATGACTTATTTGGTTTTTGCAGTGCTGGCAGTCCAGCCTGGGGTCTCAGGTATGCTAGGCAAGTGCTATTATTGAGCTCCACCATCTCATTTAACTCTAATATTCCTCTGAACTAGCAACTGTGATTATTGTCCCTCCCTGCTTAGAAACCAGGACATTGAAGCTCAGCAGTAACATATCCAAGGCCACATGATTATTTCATTTTTTGTCTTTTTGAGACAGGGTCTTGCAATGCAGTTCAGGCTGGTCTTGAACTCACTTTGTAGCCCAGGCTGGTCTCCAACTTGCAATAGTTCTCCTGCCTCAGCCTCCCTAGTGTACAGGCGTGTGTCATCACACCTGGCTACACAATTAGGTAGAAGAGTCAGATCTGTTTCTGTCTTTTCTTTCACTCACTCAGCAGTTATTTAATGAGTGTGTCTACTGTGAAAGAGCCCTGTGCTCAGCAGCTGAGGTTTTGATGTGATCGAGAATATAGGGATCTTGGGGCTAGGGGTTTAGCTCAGCAGCATAAGCGCCTCCCTTGCAAGTGTGCGGTCTGAGTTGGATCCCTGGTACCGATAAAAACAAAAAAGACAAAAACAAAAACAAAAACAAAAAAAAAAAAAAGAGAGAGAGAGAGAATATAGGGATCTGAGTAGGCAAGGGGATGGGTGAAGGCTATGTCAGGAGAGACACAGCTGGAATCTGAAGGATGAGGAATTGTTTCCAGAATTTGGCTGGACTCCTCTGTCCATCTTTGGACCAACTTACAATCCCTTTATCACTCAAACCCCAGGGCTGCAGGGCAGTGTGCCAGGCTATTCAGTCCAAGAACTTCAGGGAAAAGGATTGCTCCCTCCAGAGGCCAATGATAAGACAGGGAAATTGGAGCTGGAGATGTAGCTCAGAGGTAGAGTGCTTGCTTAGCATGATGCACAGGGCACTGAATTCAATCCCAAGCACCACAAAGGGAAATTCTTGCCCTACGAAGGCTACAAAGGTCCTAACATGCTTTATAACCCAGAGCTGAGGGAATAGCCCAGCGGATCCATCACCTCTGTCTGTCAGTTCCCCCAATGGTAAATGGGCCAGTTCCAGAAGCACTGCTCCCTGCCCTTGGGAAGGCACGGAAAGGGTATCTGAGGAAACAGGTACTGAAAAATCACTCCTACAGTCCTTTAAGAGCTCAAGGGAACCATGTGGGAACTCAGAGGAGACCCACTTGTCCCTTGGTAGAGGGTATTAAGGAAGGTGCCATTGAAAAAGACTCGAACAGGATCTAGAAAGATGAACAGTTTGGGATAGGGAAAGGTGAAGTCAGCAGGATTTCATCTTTATGATCGACAGGGTTTGGCATCATTGACATCACTCCCGGGCCTTTCATCAGTGCATGTGCTATAGGGTAATATCCGGGCTCCTTCACTGAGTAGTTATGAGATTTAGACAACCCACGGTTCCCGTAAATGTCTCAGAACAGTAGCCGGCTGATTAAGGATGAAACACTGGTAAAGAACAGCTACCCACACGTTCAGGAAAGCACTGCAAACCTTTCATGTACCAGGTGAGGGAGGGAGTGCAGTGAGAAATGGAGATCAGGTGGGAATGTGAATGCCAGGATGAGAATTAAAATGAAGGTATCACATAGAGGAGCCAAAGTATTGACCGGGAAGAAATGAACGGCCAGAGAGAGTAGCGGCATAATCCCGGAGAAGAGAGACAGGCAAACACTAGTGTTCTTGTTCTTTGTCTTCAAGCAGGCCAGGTAGGGTTTAAACCCTGAGCAGGAAGCCCTAGGAGTTCTCTGAGGGGGGTTGCTGAAGACTGACGCACCGGCAAGTCCAGAGGCCCGGGCCGCGCGCCACCTGCTGGCCGCTGTAGGTGGACTCAGTTGGTAGTAGCGGGTAAAATGTGGGATTCTGTTCCCTCAAAAGATGGAGAAACTGAGGCAAGAGTGTGGGTGAGCGGGTTTGGGATCTTCCAGATGGCTTCTGTTCCTAATCTGAGCCAAT